TCGAGGTACAAAAGGCTTACACAGTGTGGCGTGAGCTGGTGGAGGCGAAACTAGTCTCGTCACGACCAACTTCGACGCTGTATCTGAAAGCTTTCCGCGCGAGCAGCTGCGTTCCTTCAATACCAGCCTGCGAAAAGAACGCAGCCACCGTCAAGCTTCTTCCGCCTGCAAAGACGGTCATGGTTGATCAGCTAGAGCTGGAACGTCTCTTTGGAAACACTAATCCTCGTCCGTGGGTGGCGTGGTATCCAGCCAGCCAGGAGATCAACACGCAGGAGCTATATAAAGTCTACTCCTGGCTGGGGGTCAAGACAATCTCCGAATGTGCTGAATCGGAGACGAACACGAGCTGCATGAGCCTCTCACTCGGAAGGAAACTGGTTTGGGACAAACACTCTCCGTCAAGGAGCGACAAACCATAGTGCAGGAACTGCTGCGTCTAAAGGAGGTGGAACTCGAAACGAGCCTGAAAGTTCACTGGACTCTTCGCGTTGGAGACACTACACGTCACGCGGTCTCGGAGAGGATGCTCTACTGGAACAGGGAGAGGCAGGAACTAGCCTATGTCGACGAGGGGCAAAGGAAGAAGAGGAACACAGAGTTTGGGACCGAGTTCGCGAGGATCATAGCGGAGGGTCTGCTTTTCCACCACCGGTACTTGATTCCAGGCATGGAGAGGCATCTGAGCATGCTGGCATTCTCTAAGTTCGACGTCATGGAGGTGGACAACATGCTCATCAAGCACAACATGCGGCTCTATAGCGAGGACGAGACGTTTCTAAAGACCAGGGTGATTGTGGATCCATCTAAAGCTGACGCTGAGAAGAACTTACATGGCGGTGAAGCAGTCGCAGAGATGGAACCGTTTGTGCTACCGGATGTTCCTGAAACGGAGGAAGATCAGTTGGAGAGAGATTCAAGCATTTCCAAACCTCCAGCAGACTCGAGACCGACCACCATTGTCGTCGCTTCAAGTTCTTACTCTCCAGCTTTTGTCGCTGCTACTCCGAGACCACCACCTCTGGACAATCGGAAATACCTCCTGGAGCAAGCTTTCCAAGTCTTATCATCGCTGGACGAGATCAAAGACGAGGCGTGGACGATGGAGCTGCCAGACGAGGTTTTTTAACTGAGAGATGATCAGCGTGTGGCGAGAGACGTACCTTCCAACAGTTCGGCGCCTTTTGGACTATCCACCCGAGGAAGGTTACCTCAAGCCCGGGATGAGAACTGGCATCTCTCTGGACAAGATGCTCATAGCGGCATTTCTCGACTTTCCGGGAGTGAAAGGATCGAGCCACCATCACTTGAGCGTCGTTGGAGCAGCGTGCCTCAACCTGTGCCTGGCGATGGAGCTCGTCAAGCTAGATGACAATCACCACGCCGGAGTAAACGGCGGTTACAAGCTGACGAACACCTCCCTGCTCGCGGCGTGCTTCCATGCCTGTGGGCTGGATGAATCTGTGCTGCGCAGCTCGAATTCGGCAGCCGTGAGCGACCTCGTGGCGGCGAGCGTCGCGAGAGCCCTACTGGCTGTGGGGTTTTGCGCCTACGACGATGGATTGGGAGAAGTGAGGCGGATCTACCAGGAGGTGTTCCTCGCCGCCCTCGGCGATGATCTCGGCTGAAATTTTCATGCGAAATATGCTAGGCGAGAGCCCTAAAAACTCTCCCGCCCAAGTTTTCAAACACTTTCAAGAATATAGCCAGCATATTCGTTACTTTGAGCTAGACAGTCCCTGGATGAAAGATATAAGACTGATAAGAATTTTGCCTGGAAAATGACAAGAGAGGCTCACCTGGAAACTCAGCAGCAGCATCTTCCAAACCATCTCAGTTGCTCAAAGATAGCCAAATTCAATGTCGCAGACATTGCAGTTGTACAGTTGCGAATGTAATCGATGTCTCTTGGAGGCGTTCATTTTTGTGAAGAAGGTGATAGGCAAAGAACAAAGGCAAAGGCCTGAGGGGCTGGCACTTCCAAGATGCTAGCCCAGTCATGGAATAAAGTGATTCTTGTGTGAAAGAGAGTGGCTCAGAATGCCTGTGCCGTAGCTGAATGGCCCTGCGACTTTGTTGCTACCACCCAGGATCTTGTTCCAGGTGTTGTCGAAAGTTATAGCTGGAAGAAGCACAGATTATTGCTGAGATAGTCTTTAAAATTAGAGTTTAATGTTAGATTTTCTTGTACTTTCGGAAAAACTAAATTGATAATTTCTACTCCGCCTTTGCAGCAACCAGCTTCACAATAATTTTTTGATGACCCTAATGGCTTTATTTTCAGAATAAAAAACTAAAGCAATAAATGGTAGCAATTTTTATGATTTCTAAAAATAAATGTTTACTCCATTATTTATACTATGTTCTAGCATTTTTTGTTTATAGAGATTATATTATTATAATTATTATATGTATGCATGTATTTATCTTTAGAATAAAAGAACTAAAGCAATATAGAGATTATAGAGCTGTGACATTTAAATAAAATTTGAATAAATTTGACAATTATTTAATCCAGGTATATTTCTGGTTCACCAATATAATGCAATCAATGACAGTCCATTATTAGCTATACAAGTAAGGTTTATACCAAAATTAAAGAAATTAAAATAAAATAAAAGAATAAATAAACAGAGATTATCTTTTAGAAATGCGTAAATAGTTTAGCTCCTTCTTATGTGAACATGATTCATAATTTGCACTTCATTATTTCACTTAAAGCTATGAATTTCTTAAGCTTTTCTTAATATAATATAGGTGTTTAGACATATTCAAAAGCATTTGTTCTAGATTTTTTCTAATTTTTCCATAACCACCTTTATGGAAAAAAAGAGTTAAGTTGGTATGGGAGTGGCTCATTGACTTTCTTCTCAGCCTCAAAGTCACTACAGTTATATGGCATCCACAACATTTTTGTGATAGATCCTTGATGGAATTTATAACTTCTGTATGGGCAACCATTGTAAAAATCAACCAAATTGCATATTTTTACTTTGTGTCCAGCATTGATGATCGTCTCTGTTTCAAATTGCTTTACTTTTGTTTCGCATTGTTTCTCTTGAATGCATATTTGTTTGCTTTTCTGCTTGCCTGCACTTCATTCCAGTTTGATCCAGTGCACTTGCCCTAGGCCACAAACGAATGGCGTTGCTCAGGCCTTTTGGCATGGTGGGCTAGCGGATTTCAGATTGGAATGGAGTAATTTTTCATTCTTTTCGGCTGATTTTCTTTATCATTTTTGTATTCTTGTCATTTCGCTTCAAACTCAGGTGAGACTTCTTTTTTATCATCGTGAGAAACTAGCTTTTCGAAAATGATACGTCCAAAAATTTTCATATTCGATACTTAGTTAGAAATCTTGTTAGCAGAGTAATCAATCTTAGCCAGTATTTCTTATCATTTATACCAGCCTGCCATTAAAAATCTCAAGAGGAAACAAAATCCAGAACACAGTCCCTGAATGAAACATATAAAAGACTAATTGCCTTGGATCAAATGAGAAATTCACCTGGAAAATCAGCAGCCGGATACACAGTTGCTGCTCAGTGCATCTTCCAAACCATCTCAAGAACAAGTTAACCAGATTCATATCCTTACTGCCGGTTAAAAGCCCCGTTTTCGGCTCAAAGCTACATCACAAAAGGTTTACAAGTTAGCGAAAGACAAAGCTGTCTTTACCTTGGTAATCGATGTCTCGGACATGGCACCCATTTGAAGAGCTGCGAGGCAAGTTACTTAGCACAAAAACCGAAAGATTATATGGCTAACTTACCTGTGGAATGGAGTAAACAAAGTTAATAATCTGTGCTAAGAAGAAAAGCAAAAGAGTCTCGCTAAAATGGCCGAGGATGCCCGCTACAGCCATTGTCATCCCGGCAAAATACGTGTAAGTGTCTCCAACAAAGACCGATGATGGATACCTGTGGAAGAGAGAACTGCAGTCTTAAGACTTAAAGAGATATCAAAATGTTTACCAGTTATAACAAAGCAGCCCAAGCGACGCTCCAACAAGCAGTTGTGTGAGATAAATTGAGAAGGCGTGTGCTTGCTGGTAATCAGCGTCTGAGCTACTCACGATTTGCATCATGTTGTGAATCAAAATCTGTAAAACATCATGTTCTGGTCACAGAAAAAGAACAAAGAAAAGAAAGAACAATGCGCATACCGCAGAAGATATCACAAGAGTTTGCCCAACGTCCAGTCCATTCACGCCGGCGAGAATGTTGACAGCGTTGGTGCAAAACACGGCTAACAGGCCCATGTAAACTTTGTATAGCACGCCTAACAAGTGTAAAAGCTGTTCAAGAACAAATCGAACCAAAAGAAAAGAAGAAAAATCTTACCCAAGTCGAGCACCTCCATTTCGAGGTAGGCTCGAAGAGGTTTCGGAATAACAATTGTCGTGTGCCCTGCGTATGCCATCAGTAAGGGAAGAGCAGCGAAAGAAGGAAGCAAAAGTTTCCTGAGAGCAAAAGAAACACTCGAATTTGTTTCGCGAGGAGATCATGAAACTTACACGCGCCATGGGACGTCGAGGACGTCGTCCACAAAGCCGAGAAGAATCATAAATAGTATAGATGTGGGAGCCGCATTGTAAAATCGAGGAAAATCCAGCTGACGCTTCTAGGATGCGGGGGCGTCGGGCGCCAGCTCCTCCGCCACATTGTCTCCACTCGTAAACTACACCAGATTTCTCTCTTTGAATCAAATGCCCAGGGCTTGCGAGTCGCTGTGATGGCTGTAGTGGATTCCAAATCCATCTTTTTGGGTGAGAAAAACGAAGAACTGGACGACGCTGCTCTTCTGGAAATTTGTCTTGCGAAGGAAAAGAACAATCAAATGCCCGGTACATGTCTGTTTTTATTTGCCTTTTCTTTAAACGATGAAAGCTCAGCTGGATTGAATGCGCGAGCCGTTCGCGAAGAAGATTTTGATGCAACTCTAGCAGCTGCGATAAGAACCATCACAGAAGAAACTGGTAAAACTTTCCTTTGAGCTTTTTTGATGGATGATCATACAACTTTTTTTCTTGTTTATCCTATGGTTGTAGCTGACTGTACCGCGAGTATAAAAATTGGACAAGCACTTGCAGAGATGGCGGACTTGGATTGCTGCATTGTTCTTGCGAACAAGAAGCCTCTCACCAGCTCGTTTGTAAGATCGTTCTTTTTTTGTTTCTTCTTTCTTCCTTGACCCATGGCCGCAGAAAGTTTACGATAGGATTGCGGCACTGAATCGACGTTATCGCTGTGAATCAACAGTTGAGCAAAAACTATTTGTACGTACATTTTACAAACATTTCTCAAGCAGGTCGGTGCTGCTATGCCAGTCATAGCAACTTTGAACCGTCTGCTAAATTCCGGAGATTCGATCAAGAAAATTGTTGGTGCTCTCAGTGGTTTGTCCTTTCATTCTCATAAAAAATTTGCCACTTCTAACGTCCTTCTAACGTTCTAACCTTTGTCAGGCACTCTTGGCTTTGTAATGAGTCGGTTGGAGTATGGTGAATCGTTTAGTGATATTGTGAGACAAGCGAAAGAGCTTGGTTACACCGAGCCAGGTAGCTATCTTTCTTCATGTAGTTTATTCTTACGCTTTCAGACCCTCGTGACGATCTTGGCGGTATGGACGTAGCAAGGAAGGTGAAACCACTTGCTACTATCCCGTGAATGCAACATGACTTCTTTCATTTTTTATATAATGGCTCGACTAATGGGATGGAGAATAAACTTAGAGGATGTGGAGGTACTCACTCTCTTTGGTTGGATTCCTCTTAGTGACGTGCTGCTTAAAGGTTGAGTGCTTACATCCGCCAAGTCTGGCTCCCAAACTGATGAGCACCACGCAATTTCTAAACGAAGGACTAGCCGAACTCGACTTGCCAATGAGAAACCGTGTGAAAGAAGCAGCTGCTAGGGGTTGTGTTCTACGATATGTAAAACTTTCAGTAAGTCAATCCGCCTGAGCTTACCAAAAACCTGTCCTTTGCTTACAGTTGCAAAGTGGGAATTGTAGAGCAGCCTCAGCAGTCCGCTCTCGGTCAGCTGCATGGAAGCGATAATCTGGTAATTGTATAGAGCTTGTGCGTTTCCTGAAACTTTGTTCTTGCAGGTCGAGATTTTCACGCGCTGTTATTCGACTTCGCCTCTTGTTATTAAGGGAGCCGGGGCAGGCAATGATACTACAGCCGCTGGTGTGTTAGCGGACGTTTTGGACCTCCAAGACTATTTTGGCTAGGTATCGGACTCCAGAACACGCACTAACACCGAACATCGTGGGATGCAGCCGACATTGTACCATGGACAGGGATTGGAATAAAACAGACGTAAAGACAGAATCACATCTGCCGCCCATATTTACTTTGGGAGGGACTTTAGGCTCTAATGGAATACTGAGTTGGCCTCAAATAAAGAATTCAGCGAATAAAGCCTCAAGCGTGATCGCAAGTCACACCATCTATATAAAAAATGCCAGTGAACCGTAATGAAAGCGGGCGGGAGGCGGTTTAGGAGATAAAACACTTTTTAATAAGCCTTCCTATGCTTGCTTCATATAAGGGAGAGAACGTAGGAGACACATTTCTGCACAGCGAAATGTCGTCCCAGCGAATGTTTATCGAGCGCCTGCGTCGCGAGCGCTTTGGAATCGGCCAGTCCGGTCCCAATCCTCTCGCTCCCATGCTCCAGGAGACGATCAGGCTCCTCTCGGCCGAGCTCTACCAGAAGGACATCCATTTCCTGTCCGAACTCCTCCAGGTACTTTGCTCGAACTTGGTTCTGTCCCTGACAAACATGAGCGTCTTAGAACGCTGAGGACAACACTTACCATTCGTCCGTGGAGCCGAGCATCGAAATCTATCTCACAAAGACCGACGTCACTGGCACTGGAGCAGCTGCCACGCTGCTGCTCTTGAACAACGAAGTTGGTTTCTCGGAAAAGAATATAGAGTCCTTGTGCGGCTCTGGTCAGTCCACAAAGAAAGGAAAGAAGTCTCAAGGATACATTGGCGAGAAAGGTGAGATAATTCTTTCTTACCTCTCTCTAGCCGTGGTAACGTCTCTTGCTCTACAGGAATTGGGTTTAAGAGCGTTTTTCTCGTCACCAAGCAGCCATATATAATCAGCAATGGCTTTCGTATTCGTTTCGACGAAGAGCCCCACAACGAGGCCAAGCTCGGGTATATTGTCCCGGAATGGGTCGACCGTCCTACAGACGCTGTGCTGCAGAAGGTCTGTAGCAAGGCCGAGCTTCCTGCAACGGTGATCATCCTTCCCTTGCGTCAGGAAAAGATTTCGGAGGTGGCAAAGCAGCTTACTCAAATCCCAGCGGAGACGCTCCTCTTCCTATCGAAGATACGCATGCTCTCCATCTACGATCAGCAGTCGCGGCCTCCCACGGAACTGGTTCTCTCCAGATCTGTGGAGATGACAACGTCAAAGAATGAAAGCGTGGAAACGAGCACAACTTTTCTCACAGCTAGTAACGGACGGAATGGCACTCAGCACAGCAACTACTACATGTTTAAGCAGACTTTGAAAGTACCTGAGGAGGCCAAGGTTGAAAACCGAAAAGATGTCGATAGCTGGACGATCACTCTAGCCTTTCCGGTGGATGATCGTATCTCGAGCAGCTGCAGCATTGGCGATATCTTCTCGTTCCTGCCTTCCGATATCCACTCGGGCCTGCCGTTTCTTATCAACTCGGACTTTTTGCTCGTTTCCTCCCGTGAGACGCTCCTCTTTGACAGCCCCTGGAACCAGGGGATCTTTCGCTGTGTTCCCGAGGTTTTCTACAACGCCTTCGAGCTTCTCCTCAACACCACGGCGTTTGGACTGCAGAGTATACCGTCAGTAGCACGCATGGCAATGTACAAGTACGTACCTGTGAATGCTTGCCGCAACTCGTACCTCGAGAGAGTCCGCAACGATATCTTGTCCAAGCTGAAGGACAACAACGTCATTCTTTGCGCCTCGGACGTCGGCCGTGCACCACCGAGCGGGCAGCTTTGCAAGCCTGCTCTTGCGAGAAAAATCGTCCCCAGCTTCCGAGAGCTCCTCAAAGCCGCACCGAAGTGTCCCAGGTTCTTGCGAGGAAGTCCCTCGTACATAGTGGACAGCACGCTGCAGGAGAACTACGTCTCGGTGCTGAGACTCCTGGGAGTCCCAGATATGAGCAACGATGAATATCACCAAAGCCTCGACTCTGAAGACTGGATGAAATCGCTCCCTGACGATGCATATGTCAAGCTGCTGGTGTTCCTGTCCTCCAAGTCGTCAACTTTGAGATCCCTCAAGTTTCTCAAGTATCGAGGCTCCGATGGTCGACTCCAGTTGGCAAGCATGGATGATCTCGCGCGAAACGATGGCAGATCCATATACTGGGATTCTGGTCATAGAGCTACCGCTTGGCTCGCTGGTTGGACAGAGGTGTTTCAACGTTGGCTAACTTTCAACTTCGTTCCATCGGCCTGCGCTGCAAAAATCCGGCAGCACTCGGTGTTAGAGAACTGGTTGGAGAGAACCCCCTTCAGCGTGAGCGAACTGACAGCATGCTCACTCGCTCGTCAGGTTCTCGGAGCAGTCACTGCGAACTCCTCAGATGCAAAGCTTGCTGTTCTAGCGATGCACTTCCTGTTCGACCTGTACAGAAACGACCGCAGCTCGTACACATCCATCAGCAACCAAAAGCATAATGTACCAATCGTCGAGAATGACGGAGCCGTGAGTCCCTATGTTGCGAGTTATGTTTCAACGCGTCCATTGTTGCTACCGGCGGCTTGTGGAGCGAAGTGGCCGCTCTTGCTCCCGTCTGACGTGTGGAGACGCGGCGTTCAAAAATTGTCAGAAGAGTATATGGAGTCAGCAACGGTCGATCTCTCCGACTCCGACGTGCGAACCGAGTTTGTGAATTTTCTGAAGGAGCAGTTCCTGGCTACGGACATCCCCGCCTTTGATCCGGTGGACGAGGCCCTTCCTCCGCATTATGTTGGTAACGTCGCAGCGAGCTCGTTGTTACTGAAGTGGATTAAATCCAGGCACTGCAATGCACCCGCTTTCACTTCCAGTATTAAGACTACCAAGTGGTTGAAGACGAGCCACGGATACTGCTGCCCAACCGTTGCATTCCTGCCGGTGCCTGAGCTGCTTAAGGTCTTGAAAGTCGAGGATGTTCCGTTCGTGGACAAGGACTGGATGCCATTGGAGGAGTATAAGAACGAGTTCCGAAGCCTGGGAGTGGCTTGCGAGCCCGGCATGGGATATGCAACTGTCCTCCGCTGTCTCGACAATATGCAGAAGCTTCCTGCTCCGCAAGTCGACACGGCTAAAGTGGTCAGATTTTATCAGTACCTCTCCCGCTGCGCTGAACAAGAAGTATGGAGGGACGTTGACACGATCTGGGTGCCGCAGAGCGAAGGCCGTGCAGCAACCTGGAAGAAAAAGGAAGAATGCGTCATTCACGACGTTGAGGGCTTGTTTGAAGAACTCGGTGTTGTACCCCTGGATAGCTGCTACGAGCGGGTCATGCAAGACATCCTTCAGAAGAGGTTTGATGTTTGTAAGAAGCCTTCGATCATCAAGTTCTGCGAGCTCTGGCACAGGTGGTCGTCTAAAGGAAAAGATGTCGAGGTACAAAAGGCTTACACAGTGTGGCGTGAGCTGGTGGAGGCGAAGCTAGTCTCGTCACGACCAACTTCGACGCCGTATCTGAAAGTTTTCCGCGCGAGCAGCTGCGTTCCTTCAATACCAGCCTGCGAAAAGAACGCAGCCACCGTCAAGCTTCTTCCACCTGCAAAGACGGTCATGGTTGATCAGCTAGAGCTGGAACATCTCTTTGGAAACACTAATCCTCGTCCGTGGGTGGCGTGGTATCCAACCAGCCAGGAGATCAAAACGCAGGAGCTATATTAAGTCTACTCCTGGCTGGGGGTCAAGACAATCTCTGAATGTGCTGAATCGGAGACGGACACGAGCTGCATGAGCCTCTCACTCGGAAGGAAACTGGTTTGGGACGAAGGATACATCCACCTGGGACTGCTTAGAGCAATACTCGGGTATCTGGCTCTATCACTCTCCGTCAAGGAGCGACAAACCATATTGCAGGAACTGCTGCGTCTAAAGGAGGTGGAACTCGAAACGGGCCTGAAAGTTCACTGGACTCTTCGCGTTGGAGACACTACGCGCCACGCGGTCTCGGAGAGGATGCTCTACTGGAACAGAGAGAGGCAGGAACTAGCCTATGTCGACGAGGAGCAAAGGAAGAAGAGGAACACAGAGTTTGGGACCGAGTTCGCGAGGACCATAGCGGAGGGTCTGCTTTTCCACCACCGGGACTTGATTCCAGGCATGGAGAGGCATCTGAGCATGCTGGCATTCTCTAAGTTCGACGTCATGGAGGTGGACAACATGCTCATCAAGCACAACATGCGGCTCTATAGCGAGGACGAGACGTTTCTAAAGACCGGGGTGATTGTGGATCCATCTAAAGCTGACGCTGAGAAGAACTTACATGGTGGTGAAGCAGTCGCAGAGATGGAACCGTTTGTGCTACCGGATGTTCCTGAAACGGAGGAAGATCAGCTGGAGAGAGATTCAAGAATTTCCGAACGTCCAGCAGACTCGAGATCCACCACCATTGTCGTCGCTTCAAGTTCTTACTCGCCAGCTTTTGCCGCTGCTACTCCGAGACCACCACCTCTGGACAATCGGAAATACCTCCTGGAGCAAGCTTTCCAAGTCTTGTCATCGCTGGACGAGATCAAAGACGAGACGTGGACGATGGAGCTGCCAGACGAGGTTTTCAACTCAGAGAAGATCAGCGCGTGGCGAGAGACGTACCTTCCAACAGTTCGTCGCCTTTTGGACTATCCCCCTGAGGAAGGCTACCTCAAGCCCGGGATGAGGACTGGCATCTCTCTGGACAAGATGCTTACAGCGGCATTTCTCGACGCTGGAAACTTTCCGGGAGTGAAAGGATCAAGCCACCATCACTTGAGCTTCGTTGGAGCAGCGTGCCTCAACCTGTGCCTGGCGATGGAGCTCGTCAAGCTAGATGACAATCACCACGGCGGGGTAAACGGCGCTTACAAGCTGACGAACACCTCCCTGCTCGCGGCGTGCTTCCATGCCTGTGGGCTGGATGAATCTGTGCTGCGCAGCTCGAATTCAGCAGCCATGAGCGACCTCGTGGCGGCGAGCGTCGCGAGAGCCCTACTGGCTGTGGGGTTTTGCGCCTACGACGATGGATTGGGAGAAGTGAGGCGGATCTACCAGGAGGTGTTCCTCGCCGCCCTCGGCGATGCTCTCGGCTGAAATTTTCATGGTAGGCCAAAACGTGATACAAGAAAAAACTCTCCCGCCCAAGTTTTCAAATACTTTCTAAGAATATAGCTAGCATATTCGTTACTTCCGGCGCAAAAAGACAAAGATCTAGTTGCCCTAGACTATGCTATGCCACCTTTTAAAGTTCCTCACCACCCAATTACCCCCGAGCTACCTCAAAAGCTCCTCTGCGCCGCTGCTCCACTGTGAGCCCTAGGGTAGGTTAAGTCCCATAAGACTGATAAGAATTTTGCCTGGATCAAATGACGAGAGAGGCTCACCTGGAAACTCAGCAGCCTAATACACAGTTCCAGCATCTTCCAAACCATCTCAGTTTCTCAAAGATAGCCAAATTCAATGTCGCAGACATTGCAGTTGTACAGCTGCGAATGTAATCGATGTCACTTAGAGGCATTCATTTTTGTGAAGAAGGTGATAGGCAAAGAACAAAGGCAAAGGCCTGAGGAGCTGGCATTTCCAAGATGCTAGCCCAGTCATGGAATAAAGTGATTCTTGTGTGAAAGAGAGGCTCAGAATGCGTACGCGAGAAACGGCCTGGTCGACGAGGCCAGCGAGATAGTCCAGAGCGTCCCAGCCTCGGATTCCATTGCCGCAAATGCGGTTCTAGCAGCATTCGCTCGCGCAGGGAATGTGGCTGCAGCGAAGGAGCTGTTCGATTCCATGCCCGCCAGGACTTCCGGGAGCTGGAACTCGCTCGCGCAGGGCAGGGCATCTTGCCGAGTGCGTCAAGGCCGCCAACTTGATGCCACGCGGGGGACGTGGGTGGACATGATCAGGGCGTACGGAGAGCACGGCATGGTGGCGGAGGCCCGTACAGCCTTCGACAATTTGCCCCGGGTGACTGTCGACGCATGCAACACCCTGATTGTGGCGTATGCCCGTAACGGGCATCTGGTTGAGGCAAAGGAGCTGTTCGACGCGATGCTGGTGAGGAGCACCGTCACCTGGGCGTCCATCATGGAGGCGTGCACCATGAGCAACCTCGCGGGGCAAGCGCTGGAGATTTTTCACTTGGAGAATTGCTCGGGGCAGCTGATGCTGGATCGGGTGGTCTTCTCGGCGGTTCTTAGCGCGCATTCTTGGCTCGGGTGCCTAGACGATGCGGCGGGGATCATCCGCGACATGGCCTCAGACTACGCCATCCGGCCGAGTGTGGAGCACTACTGCGCGATCCTGGCGATGCTGACGAGCCGATCAGAGCTGGGAGATGCTGAGGATCTTGCAGCAAGCATGCCGTTCGTGGCCTCGGCCTCGGCGTGCTGCTCCTCGACGTGTGTAAGATCCGTCGGGACAGCGCCCGGGCAAGGCGAGTGGCGGAGGAGATAGTCAAGCTGAATCCCAGCGGTCGCGCAGAGCCATTCATGGTAGTGGCGGGCCTCTACTTCCGCGAAGAGGCCGTGGATCTCATGCTGGAGAAAGGGCCGGTCAAGATGTTGACCTTTTGACCCTAGTCTTTGACCGAAGGATAATGTGACTATATTTACTGCTGTCCCAAAGTGGAGGAGTGAACGTTGTAATTGATATATATCTCCCTATGGATAAAGAAGCTGTGTATGTTTTTCAAGGGAATGGAGTTCACAGCTTTTCAAGGAAGTGAACTTGCATGGTGAAAATGATGCATGTTGTCATACCATCAATCAAGCACAAAAGAACCTTCACAAGAACCCAGGGGAGCAACAAAGCCCCGTAAAACAATATGGAGGATATCGGCTGGTGAACTGGAGGTGGCATATGTGCAGTACTTGAGGGTTATATATGGCTAATACGAATACATATTCGTGGCACTCGGCAAAACAAAATACAAAATTTTGCTTGGTATAGTTTGATGCTTGGACCATTAAATGAAGTTTAGGTAGTGTTATATTCTGTTGGTGAAGAAATTCATTGATGTTAGGCGTGCCCTAGCTCAATTTTGGCATACATATATTTGAATAAAAATTATTTTACAAATATTATGGTACTCTTTTAACTTCTGGCCGTGGGTTCGAACCGCAGGGTGCTCAGATACGGCATCTGGCCGAGCCAATTACATCATATTATAAGAGTTATGAAGATCGTGAGGGCCCACGCAGGGCATTTGACCACTCTTGGGCAAGATACTTGCAGCAACAGTATCAATTGTTGTAAAGGTCACATTTAAGTTCTTGCTACTCCTTGGAGAGCTTTGCTCCCAAAATACAAAAGAGAAGATGAGAGAAGGCTTCTTTTTTTCTCACCCGACGACTCCTCTTCCCTCGTCTAGATCATGCCATGACCGAAGGATATGCTGCACCAATTCTTTGCCCTATCCCACATGCCGAGGCGTGGAATAAGGGCACAAGAGCATGGATCCATACTTACTTGGACGGGGTTTATTAGTTACCATGAAGGCTAATGGCCTAGGTTTGGTCTTCCCAGCTCGATCAAAGCCGCGATTTGAGGCAGGCTTGGCCGGCCTACCATCTTCCCAAAGTGGAGGAGGGGACGTCGTAATTTGTGGAAGTTGAGGGCGGCCCTCTCCAAATTCCAAGCCCTAAGATGGATGATTTTTTTCATCTCTTGTCTTCTCGAATAATTGCTCTCCTTAGAAAAATCAGGATGTCGAAACCATCAGCTTTCAAGAACACGGCTGCTTCATCCATTGAGTAGCGGTTCCTCGCTTGTCCCACAAGCTGGAGAAAACTTCCTGCCTGCGATGGCGGCTCTCTTGAATCCTCTGCGCCTCTGGATCGTCGGCCGCGCCACCGTTGAGCAGGCTGTGTCCAATCGGCTCGGGCTGCCTCGTTGGCTGCTGAACATCCCCGCCACTGGCATACGCTCCAGAAGGTTTCGATCCAAATTCTCGCTGGGATACCAAAAGAATTTCTTGTTACCTGTTCTATGGCTTCTCTCGTTTCAGCCTTGCTCTTGCTGGAGAGCGGTGCTAATCTCCACAGCCTGTGTGTGTGTGTGAAGAGAGAGTAAAGATTTCGAAAACACGCCTTACCTTGCGAGCGCCTCCCGTCTCAGCCACAATGATGCCATGGACCATATTGAAACGAGAGGTCACTGATGTCCAGCTAGTCATTGTAGTCTCTGAGGGACGCGACGCAAAATTGTCTTCGCGCTTGGTTGTAGCCGCACAATCAATTGAAAAAAATGGCAATGCTTACATGCTCGTATTTAATTGGATGCTTCCTGGATTTTTGGAAGCCGTCTCGTAAACAACCTCCCAGTGCTTCTTGGTTTTTAAGGGCTGCTCGCGGTCAGAGCACCCGATTTCTTACAAGGGAACTGGATAGGTTGAAGTGGGTTAGAATATTCGTTTGTCCGTCAAAATTATCCACCCGTTCATGAAGCTCATAAACCTTGCTCTCAGGTAAGATTCTGTATCAAGAGCCCTAAAAACTCTCCCGACCATGTTTTCAAACACTTTCTAAGAATATAGCCAGCATATTCGTTACTTTGAGCTTGGATGAAAGATATAAGACTGATAAGAATTTGCCTGGATCAAATGACGAGAGAGGCTCACCTGGAAACTCAGTAGCCTGATACACAGTTCCAGCATCTTCCAAAGCATCTCAGCTGCTCAAAGATAGCCAAATTCAATGTCTCGGACATCGCAGTTGTACAGCTGCAAATGTAATCGATGTCTCTTAGACGCGTTAAGGAGGTGATAGGCAAAGAACAAAGGCAAAGGCCTGAGGGGCTGGCGTTTCCAAGATGCTAGCCCAGTCATGGAATAAAGTGATTCTTGCAGAATGCGTACGCGAGAAACGGCCTGGTCGACGAGGCCAGCGAGATGCTCCAGAGCGTCCCAGCCTTGGATTCCATTGCCGCAAATGCGGATCTAGCAGCATTTGCTCGCGCAGGGAATGTGGCAGCAGTGAAGGAGCTGTTCGATTCCATGCCCACCAGGACTTCCGGGAGCTGGAACTCGCTCGTGCAGGGCAGGGCATCTGGACGCGGGGGACGTGGGTGGCCATGATCAGGGCGTACGGAGACCACGGCATGGTGACAGAGTCCCGTACATGTATATGAAGTTGCAATCTATATGATTCTATATAAAAACATATTGAAAACATGTATATGAAGTTGCAATCTAGCACTAAGTGGATCCAATGGATTGTGGCAAGCTTATAAACAATATATTGTAAAATAGAAAACAAAAACATAACATGGAATAGAAAATGAAAGTGCATAATACTTTAATCAGCCTTGAATGCAATAACTTTTGGGGAGTTTTGATTGGCACTAGTGGAGAATAAGAAGTGGCTTTTTTGTGTCTTTAAAAGTTTGATTGCCCTAAGCATCCGAGGAGAAGTGAACATCTTTAGAAATTGGCCAAGAGTGAAACTATATGTTTAATCAATATAAGTGTCCTTCATACAAATGTTTTAGGGGTGGCCACTATCTAAATAAAATTTGCCATGGACCTATAATGTTTGGAAAAACTTTATTCATTCTTACAATAGTGGCACTAATCAATATCATGTGTTTGTTTCTCAATCTTAAACATTTGCAAACATGGCAATTGCAACAAATAGGGATTGCTCAAAGGTTTTTAGGGATGAAATATCATTGCACCTATTGACAAAATATGCATTATGAACCACTAAAAAAGATTATGAAATATACCCTAAAGAAGTTTTTTTCATATATGAACTACTTCTATATATAGTCCTAAGGCATATCATTAGTAATTTTTAAGACAATAATGGAAGGTGCAATCTTGAATATATTTTTATCTTTAGTTCCTTGGAAATTGTAGAAAATATAATTTGGCATCTATCTAGTAAACCATGACGATTTGAGCTCATGATAGACATAGCCCATATCACCCATCACATGCATCTGCTTTTAAAGTTCACAAGAAAAATCCAGTCAAAATATTACAAATATTTTGTAATTTGTAATTATAAATAATTTATAGATGTTTTCAGCTTCAAGATCATCAATGATGAACATGATGTTTATAGTGTTTGTGGGGTGAGAGAAGAAGGTGTTGTGATACATGTCACATATAATATGTTGACCAGTATTGATGCTCAACCTTTTGCAATGGAAACTCACTATGTCACTTGGATCTTATAATTCCCTTTAAGGAATTTGATAGTTTCCTCTAATAAAACACATATTTATAATTATTTCCTCAATTCTTCTTTCAAAATAGAATACAATATTTGTTGTTTTGATACTATTCCTATTTAGTTTTCAATGTAACAAAATTATATCAATAATCAAACAGTGTTTGCTAACTGGAATAGCTAGTATTTGAATAAATTTGACAATTATTTAATCCAGGTATATTCCTGATTCATTGATATTGATAGTACATTATTAGCATAGCTAAATCAATGATTATAGAGCATAACAAGTAAGCTATGTAGCAAAATTAATAAAAATATTACTTCTCACTAATATAAACCATGTTTACCATTTATAAAATTTAAGGTAGAGTTTTAGCTCCTCCTTCAACCATGATGGAGAAATGTGATAGGAAAATCAAGACTTTAGCCCCTATTTTCTAGTTCCTTGTTTGATGCTTACAATATGGTCATTGGAGAGCACTCTTACACACATAGCTTTTGGGTAAAGAATCAAAACAATTTAGTCAACTAAGCAATGATGGGTAAAAATATTATGTGATTTCTTGATCAGTAGGAACTATATAATATTTCTAGTCATCAGTGCATGTCTAGAGCTTCTACCATGAAAGCACTTCTATCTGTTAGCATTATATAAAGCTTTGCTTCACTATAATGGATATGGTTACCTTAAACTTCATTATCACAATGTATATAAGAGATTGCCATACAAAATAAATCATGCTTCACCATTTAGTGAGCAGCTAAAACAACTTGCAGAATTCCCCAAGAAGATCTCCATGATACTAGTGTTCCAGCACCTTCCAAACCAATATAGTCTAACTCATGAGCTGAAGATTAATGTATTAAAGAATCTGTTATATACCACTTTTAAGAAAATTGATTTAAAGGACATTCCTTTATATTTTAAAATATATTTTAATTTATAAATTCCTAAATAGTATATATTTAAAATAAAACTTTTTCACTTTACAAACAATTATATTATTATTTTAAAACAGATTTAGGTTTATGCTATTATATATATCTGTATTAGGAAAGTCTTATAGGAATATTTATTAGTCAAACCAATGCTATTGTATTAAAAATCATTTTAAAAAAAAAATACTGTGAGGGCCAAGTGTATGGCTACGATGCCGTTTACTAATAATGGGATTTTGGTAGCCGTCGAATTGGTTTCAATCCGGACCACTCACTCCTATATATAAGCTAGGGTTTTTGGGCTAATTAATATGCACATTTCTGTATTCCCTTTTTATATTCCATGCACTCACATTGGTGGAGGAGAGGGGCACCTTTGATTGTCCCTAGGGAGTGCTTTGATTTGGGATTTCGATTTAGATTTAGCTTTTGCATTGTCTAGATCTAGTTTTTTCCATTTCCTTTCTTTTGTTCTTTCCTTTCAGGATTTTGGTTTAGATCTAGCTTTTTGCATTGTCTAGATCTACCATTTCTTTCTAGCTTTTTGTCATTTTTCTTCTTTTACTCTTTCTTTTTTCGTTCATTTTCATGGCTGATCCGCAATCTCCTCCTTTGACTCTAGAATAGTAGTTGGTTCAATTGCTTGATGCTATACGCTTGCAATTGAACAACCAAACTCAATTGATGGTGGCATTCACGGCACGTGGTCCAACTCCTTTTGCTCTTGGTGCCAATCCTCGCATTCAGCCGGAGTTCTTTCGTGGGAATCCTGGGAATGATGTATACCATTGGTTCGATCACTTCACGGTGATTGCCACATATCATTCTTAAGATGATGCTCAACGTTTGCGTGAGTTTCCCACGTGTCTCCAAGGGACGGCATTGCAATGGTACAATGGATTGAGTGCAGCCACTCGTGGGAATTGGAGTGTTCTTCCAGACGTCTTCAAACGTGCCTTCGGACATGCCGACAATTGTGACGATGCCTTCCAACAATTGCATCGTCTTCGCCAAGGGCCATTTGAGTTGGTGATGTAATTTGGCGTTTGTTTCCGAAGTCTTTTGCTTCGTGTGGAGCCTAATATGTCGGAGCGGATCAAGCTAGGAATGTTGTGGCTAACACTTCGTCAAGATTTTGTCGGCCTTGTGCATGCACTTGCTCTTGCCACCCTTGACGATGGTCTTCGCTTGGCACAACGTTATGAGACGTCACCTCTTCCATTTCTCACTGCACGTCCTTCAGCTCCACTTCTTATGAGCGATGGTCCTGTTCCAATGGAGGTTGATGCTTCTGCTACTCGAGTCCACGAACAAGGGCGAGGACGTGATCGTGGCCGTGATGTTCATTGCTGGGCGTGTGATGAAGTTGGTCATACTTATCGGCGTTGTCGACGCTTTCCGGATTGGCGACCTCCATTTCCTAGATGGAGACCTTGGTGTTAGCAACATCCTGTTAGTATTACTGCGGTGGAAGGTTTGGACACCGAGGTGCATCTGGGAAATGAGGAGTTGCACAAGTAACGGAGGGACCTTGCGCGAATAAGTTAGTGACCCCTCCATCTTTCTTTCGAGAGTATCATCAAGGGGTTCACTTGGCACCGGTTCATCTAGTGTTTACTTTCCAAGCTCGTTTTTATAACAAGAGGTCTTCTATTCTTCTCTCCGTGTTAGTTGATACAGGTTCGAGTTTCTTCTATTGCTCGACCTGTTGCCACACGTTGTTGTCTACACTTGCGTCATGTGGCGGATCCAGTTTTCATTCTTTATAGCAACAGCCGTACACATGCATATGCACGAGATGAGGCGGACCTGCTTGTGCATGTGGGCGATCTCGAGCTTGAGTTACAGTAGTTGCGGGTGGTGCCGAGTCAAGCTTTTGACCTCATTCGTGTTGATGCAAGAAAGCCCAAGTGTGCCTGGTCAGCATCATCCCATTGCATATATAAACCATACATTACAACTAGCAGAAGTGAACTACTCCATGACAGAGAAGGAGTGTTTAGCGGCAGTTTGGGGTTTCGAGAAACTTCATGCATATCTACATAGTTCTTGGACGTTACTTAAAGGTGACCATGCTACCGTTACTTCATTATTGAAGCTGAAGAACCTGGTTGGTCATACTGCTCGGTGGGC